TATATCTGTGGCCCCTCTATAAACATGTACATCCTGAAGTCTACTCAACAGTCTTTTATCTAGCAATACATAATCCAACAAACTACTGTCATTTCACCCTACATCATATCTTGTATACTTATTTATCCTCTTTTTACTAAAATATGTATTACCTATAACTAAACCCCTTTCTATACAAAGTTCAATCAAAGGGCTTCCATTATCATTTACACCTGGCACCCCAAACTTACCTACCACACCCTCTCTAAAAGTTTCTCCTACTTTAGCATTCAGGTCCCCTACCACAATTACTCTCTCTCACTTGGTTCAAAGGTTCCTATACGTTCACTTAACATCTCCCAAAATCTCTCTCTCTCCTCCACATTCCTCTCTTCTCCAGGTGCATACATGCTTATTATGACCCACTTTTCGCATCCAACCTTTACTTTAATCCACATAATCCTTGAATTTACACATTCATATTCTCTTTTCTCCTTCCATAACTGATCCTTCAACATTACTGCTACCCCTTCCTTGGCTCTAACTCTCTCAGATACTCCAGATTTAATCCCATTTATTTCCCCCCACCGAAACTCCCCTACCCCCTTCAGCTTTGTTTCGCTTAGGGCCGGGACATCCAACTTCTTTTCATTCATAACATCAGAAATCATCTGTTTCTTGTCATCCGCACTACATCCACGCACATTCAAGCATCCCAGTTTTATAAAGTTTTTCTTCTTCTCTTTTTTAGTAAATGTCAACAGGAGAAGGGGTTACTAGCCCATCGCTCCCGGCATTTTAGTCGCCTCATACGACAAAAATGGCTCACGGAGGAAAGATTCTTTTCCACTTCCCCATGGACAATAGAAGAAATAAATTAGAACAAGAGCTATTTAGAAAAAGGAGAAAAACCTAGATGTATGTATATATATATGCATGTGCGTGTCTGTGAAGTGTGACCAAAGTGTAAGTAGGAGTAGCAAGATATCCCTGTTATCTAGCATGTTTATGAGACAGAAAAAGACACCAGCAATCCTACCATCATGCCAAACAGTTACAGGTTTCTGTTTCACAGTCATCTGGCAGGACGGTAGTACTTCCCTGGGTGGTTGCTGTCTACCAACCTACTACCTATGTATATATATGTTTGGGGCACTTGCGGTAAAAACGTATATATACGTTTGGACCATTTACGGGTTAAGGAATACATAGAGACTGAAAATTTAAAACGTGAACAAGTGTTTAATTGTGAAGAAACAGGCCTGTTTTGGAAGAAAATGCCAAACAGGACCAACATTACTCAGGAGGAAAAGGCACTCCCAGGGCATAAGCCTATGAAAGACAGGCTGACATTAATGCTGTGCAGTAATGCTAGTGGTGATTGCAAAGTGAAGCCTTTATTGAAGTATCACTCTGATACTCCCAGAGTGTTAAAGAAAAACAATACTGTCAAGGGTAATTTGTGTGTGCTATGGAGATCAAGCAGTAAGGCATGGGTCACTAGGGAATTTTTCTTGGACTGGCTGTGTTTGGCCCCACTGTGAAAAATTACCTCCAGGAAAAGAAATTGTCACTAAAGTGCCTCCTGGTAATGGACAATGCTCCTGCTCATCCTCACGACTTGAAAGAGGAAATTATAGGGGAGTTTGGTTTCGTTAAGGTGAAGTTTTTGCCTCTTAATACAACTCCTCTCCTCCAGCCCATGGGCCAGCAGGTCATTTCAAACTTCAAAAAACTCAATACAAAAGCAGTGTTTCAAAGGTGCTCTGAAGCGACCCCAGACACTCAATTGACCCTAAGAGAGTTTTGGAAAGATCACTTCAATATCCTCAATTGTGTAAACCTTATAGGTAAGGCTTGGGAGGGAGTAACTAAGAGGACCTTGAACTCTGCTTGGAGGAAACTGTGGCCAGAATGTGTAGAACAGAGGGATTTTGAAGGGTTTGGGGCTAACCCTCAGGAGGCTATGCCAGTAGTGAAAGGGTTTGGGGCTAACCCTCAGGAGGCTATGCCAGTAGTGAAAGCTATTGTGTCATTGGGGAAGTCCTTGGGGTTGGAGGCTTGTGAGGAGGATGTGGAAGAGTTGGTGTAGAACGACGAGGAAGAACTAACCACTGCAGACCTGCAAGAGCTTCAGGTGCAACAGCAACAGATCACATCTCAGGAATGTTCTTCAGAGCAGGATGAAGAGAGACAGAGGAAGATGACTTCGTCAAGGATTAGGTAAATGTGTTCAATGTTTACAAAGGTGCAAACATTTATCGATGAATTTTATCCTGTCAAAGAAGTTGCAAGCTGCATTGGCAACATGTACCATGACACTCTTGTGTCCCATTTTAGTGAAATCCTAAGGGCACGTGAGAAACAGAGCTCTCTGGACAGATATTTTGTGTGACAGGGGTCCAGTGAATCCCAAGCTGTCCGTAGTGGCATTAAAAAACCAAGAAGGAAGGTAACCCCACCAAAGGACTTGGTACCTGAAGTCTTTATGGAAGGGGATTCTCCTTCCAAGCAATAGACAATCCTGAATCTCCCCTGCTGCTGGCACATCACTCAACAACAACTCCACAATAAAAGTAAGTGGCATTTAATTATTATTTATTTTGCATGTCCCATTCATTTTGGTGTAAGAAAATGTATATTTCATGTAAAAAAAAAAATCAGACTTTGGGGTGTCAGGAATGGATTAATTTTATTTCCATTATTTCTTATGGGGAAAATTAATTCGACCAACGGCAAATTCGACTAACAGCAAGCTCTCTGGAACGGATTAATGCTGTTGGTTGAGGGTCCACTGTATATACACATATAGAGTCACTGGACATGTTCCTAGAAGTGCTGCAGCTTGTGGAACTCTTTGAAACATGGTGTCATGCACAGTGATGTTTTATACTCCTCACACATAAAACTAGTGTCTCTGCATTTCTGTGGGAATTTTTTTTGTATGTGCACAGACAAAACACCTCTTCTGAGCATATTTCTTCTTAGTAGGAGGCACTTGTATTAGGTAGTGATCACCAGGCCTCAGATGAGAGGGTAGTTGGTGATCAGTTCGTAGGCGGTTTTCTATTGCAGGTGTTGTTACTTGGTACTTGAATAATATTTGTCTAATGACAGACAAACAAAATTTGCCATATGGTGGTTTATTTCTGGTCCTCATCTTATACATATTATAAGCATTGCGCATGGAAATGTTCAGAAGATGGAAAAAGAGTTTCATGTACTACTTATAACTCTTGTGAACACAATCAACAAACCCAATTTGCATGTCATATTTGTCCACTGAATGTAAATTGAGGGTGTAGTCCATCACAGCTATTGGTTTTAGAATGGGTTCATTGGTCCCTCTATTCTGCCTGCCACTGTCTATCATTTCGTTTCGGTGAACTGATGTCAACAGTGTGACATCTCGTTTGTCATGCCACCGAAATGCCACGATGTCATTGGCAGCAAACGCCTGCACCTCACTTCTACGAGTGCCTGTGTCGAACCTAGAAATATGCTTACAATTTGTACGCACTGTACTGCACACATCTGTCATGTTCACTTGCAAAAAATAACTGAATAAGGGGGTTGTGTACCAGTGAACAGTATATAATGTATGCCCTTTACCAAGATATGATTCCATCATTGTTCTAACCACATCACAAGAGATACCCAATAACTTCCTGGTAACTTGCAATGTATTATTTCCAGTGTACACAATTATATCCAATACAAGACTACTGTAGCAATCACAAAGTACAAACAACTTTATACCAAGGTGTTTCCTCTTGCTTGGTATATACTGCTTCAACGACAGTCTACCTTTGAACAAAATCAAAGACTCATCTATAACAAGCTTCCAGAAGGGATAAAAATATAGAGAATTTCTCTTTCAGATACATGAACACATTCCTAATCTTATATAACCTGTTGTTTCTGTCAGGCCTTGTCCTGTCTGAGAAGTGTAGCATATGTAATAGTAGCAGAAACTGATTCACTGGTATTATATCACTGAAAGCTGGGATTGAAACCAGGCAGTCTGTCGACCAGCATGATTTGACACTGTGCTTACACATGTGGCATAAACATTATTGTGGCAAAGAAGAGATACATCTCAGCCACAGTTGTCTCCTTCCACTGGTGTAGACGTGATCTTGGTGAAAGAATTGTTTGTCATGATGTAATTGAGATATGTGTTACTTTCCCTAACAATAATTTCCATCAGGGGTTCATCAAAGAATAATTCAAAAAATTCCAGTTCAGTGGCACTGTTTCCAAGTGTACAAGATGGCCGTATTCCACTTTGAGTTTCATCAAAGTGATGGGGATTTGGAACAAAATTAGCACCTTGCTGCCAATCCCAGGTGCAGTTTGCTGGTGGGTACTGGATATTGACAGGTGGTTGTGATGGTGGAGGTTGTGGTTGTGGAGGTTGTGGTTGTGGAGGTTGTGGAAGTTGTGGTTGTGGAGGTTGTGGTTGTGCAGGTTGGTGTGGTGGTGGGGTGGGTGGGTGAGGGTGGGCTTTATTGTAGCTGCATGGAGTCAGCGGCGTGGCTACCAGCATGGGCTACTGGCTCTCAAGCCATAGTGCTATGGGACCAACACTGAAAAGGTTAACGTAGTAAAAGGAGGAATTGAATTTAATGTCTTCTTCATAAAACCTACATTTCTTCAGAGTCAACATGGAGATCAATTAGTCTTTGTGCATTTTATAAGATACAGTGGACCCCCGCTTAACGATCACCTCCAAATGCGACCAATTATGTAAGTGTATTTATGTAAGTGCGTTTGTACGTGTATGTTTGGGGGTCTGAAATGGACTAATCTACTTCACAATATTCCTTATGGGGAAAAATTCGGTCAGTACTGGCACCTGAACATACTACTGGAATGAAAAAAGTTCATTAAGCGGGGGTCCACTGTATATGGCAAATTCTACATGATTCTAGGTGTCAGCATCACTATGTATGTGTTGTGCTGTTTTCAGTACATCTTATTAAATTGTACAAAAAAAAAGCAAAATTATTCAGACTTACTTGAAAGGAAGAACTGATTCACTAAGATTTTTCATATAGACTGGAGGTCCATCAGGTAATTTACTAATGGTGTCGGATTTTACTTCACGTCTTGCTGGATCTACTCGAGTGTCTCGTCTGGTGGCAGGTGGTGAACTTGTAGTATTCTTAAGTCCTTCAGTGTTTTCACTGCAAGTGTGACATTCTTCAGAGGCTGATCCTGTTTGAGTATTATTCAAAGTGTGGACAGGTGATATCTGCAGAGGCAGTGGGGAGAGTAATAAAGAATTAAGAACTGTTGTTGCATTTGCTGATGTATCATTTGAAGAAATTTTCACTTCAGACAACTGAATCTCATCGACAGTCAGTGGATTACTCTCATTTATACTCATTTCTTCATTTTCTAACATTTCTGAAGCATCATAAAAGCATTCTGACATATTACTGGTAGGAGTTCGAGCTCTTGGCAAGTCTAAACACACGTTTGAATCAGTGAAGTGTTGCTCAGCCTCAGACTCCATCAGTGTAGCCGCAGATGCTGATGTGCTAGCCTCGTTATTTACTGTACTTCTAGGATTGCGAGTAACTGAGCAGGACACCCTCAGTTCAGCCAGTTCATGAGCAAGCTGAGCAGCATCCGCATGGTTACCATGAGCTATGGCACCCTCAAGTCGTTTTAGAAGTCGATTGATGTTGAGGGTATTGAGCTGACCAAGAGTTGATTCCTCAACTCGCAAGGTTGCTGTGGAGAGTATACTATTATAATTAAAGAATCAAGGTGGAAAAAATCATGTTCATAAATTATCTACACTATATGTTAAATTGTAAAACTTAATGATGCTTCATAATTACACTAAAAAATACAATGATTTTTATTCGTGACCAAACAAGCAATTTAATAAACGTACATATACCACATATACAGTAATGTACATTCAATATAAGCATTATTCCTTATATGCTGGAATTATTCAAATAAAAGCAGAGTACATTACAATATTATACTATATATCAAGTTTTCCTTCCAAAATTTCATATACAGTGGAATCTCGGCTTACGAATGCCCCACCATGCGAATTTTTCAGGATACGAACAGTCACTCGATCGATTATTTGCTTCTGGATATGAACAAAATTTCAGGATGCGAACTTCAAGGGTGAGGGACTCTTGATCAAGGGAATTGGATCTGTGCTCCACTTCCCTAAATCAATAATAATAATTATAATACATGTGTACTACTAATAATAATACACTGCAGCAGGCCTGTTGGCCCATACTAGGCAGGTCCTTCATAATCCATCCCACTAACAGAATACAGTGGACCCCTGGCATTCGATGGCATCGGTACAGTGGACCCCCACCTTACAATATAATTTCATTCCAGAAGTATGTTCAGGTGCTGTTACCGAACGAATTTGTTCCCATAAGGAATATTGTGAATTAGATTAGTCCGTTTCAGACCCCCAAAAATACACGTACAAAAGCACTTACATAAATACACTTACATAACTGGTCGCATTGGAAGCTGATCGTAAGGCGGGGGTCCATAGTATATGTTAAATCCAGTATTCAATACATTTTTTTAACGCAAAAATTTTGTCTTGCCACTCGTTAAAAAACCCGCCACACGCGATTCGTCCGGGACGCGTCCGCGTGAGTGCCAGTGTGCTCGCATCTAAGCATATATTTGGTACATTCCATATTATCATAGTGTTTTTGGTGCTTGTTTCTGGAAGTTAGGAGGAGGTGCGGGATTGCCAAAACTGTTGTCCAGAGGGCTGAGGAAGGGTTGTTGAGGTGGTTCAGACATGTGGAGAGAATGGAGTGAAACAGAATAACTTCAAGAGTGTATCACTCTGTAGTGGAAGGAAGGCGGGGTAGGGGTCGGCCTAGGAAAGGTTGGAGGGAGGGGGTAAAGGAGGTTTTGTGTGCGAGGGGCTTGGACTTCCAGCAGGCATGCGTGAGCGTGTTTGATAGGAGTGAATGGAGACAAATGGTTTTTAATACTTGACGTGCTGTTGGAGTGTAAGCAAAGTAACATTTATGAAGGGGTTCAGGGAAACCGGCAGGCCGGACTTGAGTCCTGGAGATGGAAAGTACAGTGCCTGCACTCTGAAGGAGGGGTGTTAATGTTGCAGTTTAAAAACTGTAGTGTAAAGCACCCTTCTGGCAAGACAGTGATGGAGTGAATGATGGTGAAAGTTTTTCTTTTTCAGGCCACCCTGCCTTGGTGGGAATCGGCCAGTGTGATAATAAAATAAAATAAAATTCTGCAAAATAAGTCACCATGGGCCCCAAGAAAGCTTCTAGTGCCAACCCTGTGGTAAAAAGGGTGAGAATTAGTATGGAAATTAAGAAAGATTTTGAAGGGTTTGGGGCTAACCCTGAGAAGCCTATGCCAGTTGTGGAATCCATTGTGCCTACTTCAAAAATTAAGGAAATGTGTGCGAAGTGGGTTGAACTGCAAACCTTAATGGATGAAAATCACCCTAACACAGCTATTGCAAGCCATGCTGGTGACTATTACAATGACAATGTTGTGGCCCATTTTAGACAAATCGTAAAGGAACGGAAGGTACAGAGCTCTATGGACAAATTTGTTGTGCGACAGAGGTCCAGTGACTCTCAAGCTGGTCCTAGTGGCATTAAAAGAAGAAGGGAAGTAACCCCAGAAAAGGACTTGCTACCTCAAGTCCTAATGGAAGGGGATTCCCCTTCTAAACATTAACAACTTCGACACTCTTCCCCCCTCCCATCCCATCAATCATCACCATATCTTCATTAAAGGTGTCATGTATTCTATTGTTAGTAGAGTACTACTAACTGTGCATGTCTTCTTCAGTTTGTGTGCATTAAACTTAATATTTCATGTGGTAAATCTTTTTTTTTATAGTACTTTTGGGTGTCTTGCATTGATTAATTTGATTTCCATTATTTCTTATGGGGAAAATTAATTCGCCTTCCAATAATTTTGGCATACGATGAGCTCTCGGGAACAGATTAATATTGTATACCGGGGGTCCACTGTATTTGCCCAACTCAATTTTCAATGCTACCCAAGCAATAAGCTTTGATAATTCTATTTACTCATGTGCAAGTCCCACTCACATCCAACCCCTCTCACTCATGTAATTATCGAACACAAATTTGAAACTGTCCAAGGTTTCAGCCTCAATAAACATACTAGTCAGATTGTTCAACTCATCAACATATCGTAAGAAAGGAGGAACACTGCAGCAGCCCTGTTCGCCCGTACTTGGCAGGTCCTTCCAAATCCAGCCTACTAACAGAATAAATGCTACCCAAGCAATAAGCTTTAATAATCCTATTTACTCACTTGCAAGCCCCACTCAAATCCAACCCCTCTCACTCATGTATTTATCCGACCTAAATTTGAAACTACCCAAGGTTTTAGCTTCGATAGAACCTTGGGTAGCTTTAAAAAGATATTGAACAAATATTCAAGTGGGAGGGGATGGGTATGATTGGTGTCGTGGGTACATAATAACATTAGAAAGGAGGAACACTGTGGAGAAATTTTCTCCAGGAGGGGGTATCAGCCCCCTTCAGCCCCCTTCAGCCCTGAGGGGCCCAGCCCTCTCAGAAGGGGCAAACATCTTGTTTACTGCTACAGCAAGTAATTGATCCCAGATGCAGTACGAGTATGTGACGTGGTCAAGAGACCGCCGCTCCTTGCAAGAGTCCAGTGTTGCAAAGTGTAATTTAATAAAAGACAGTCCATCTCTTACCTTAGCAGGACAATTAAGGAAAATCCTGCTCCCAGTTTATTACCATGGTAAAGATAGTGTACATTGTTGTCTATGCTTAAGACAGCAAGAATCAAGCATTCTTTGCTTCATGGAGAAAATTTGGCAAGGAAGCAAAAAGTACTAGGTCAGCTTTTCCATTATGCTCGAGGGGCACTGCAGTGGCGTAGGACGCTGTGAGGTCAGATTACAGGTCTCCCTCAACATTCACGTTTTCAGCTTTCGTGGGCTTCACACATTCGTGAATTCCCAACCGCCAAATTCAAGTAAAGATAGTGTACATTGTTGTCTATGCTTAAGACAGCAAGAATCAAGCATTCTTTGCTTCATGGAGAAAATTTGGCAAGGAAGCAAAAAGTACTAGGTCAGCTTTTCCATTATGCTCGAGGGGCACTGCAGTGGCGTAGGACGCTGTGAGGTCAGATTACAGGTCTCCCTCAACATTCACGTTTTCAGCTTTCGTGGGCTTCACACATTCGTGAATTCCCAACCGCCAAATTCCCAACCGCCAAATTCCCAGCCGCCAAATCATATTCAAGTTTCCTGCCACCTGCGAGTCCCTACTACCCTCCCTCCTACCCCCGCAACTGGCAGCCAGCCCTCCCACCACTCAGTGTGGTGAGTGTTTTGTTTGTTCATTATTTGCTATTAAACTGCAGTATAAATAATGTAAACCCATTCATGACTGCATATTGGAATGGTTATTCAGACAGGTATTAGACGGTGACATGTGTTTACTCTTGAACACAGCAAAGAATCAAACATTTCTGCTACTGCTAATAATAACAATAGTAATAATAATAATAATAATAAATACGATATAATTGAAGAAGGAAGTTGTACAAAAATACGAGGGAGTGGTTGACACATCGTCAGTGTGGCTTTGTTTATGCTGGAGTGAGCATTAGTCTCCCTGCTCTTCCAAACGTTTCACAATAATTCATTGTGTTTGGTACTTGTAGATTGAGTGCGACTGGAGTGGTAGAGGCAGTGGTTGAGGCAGCTGTTGAGGCAGCTGTTGAGGCAGCGATTGTGGCAGTGGGTGAGGCAGCGATTGAGGCAGTGGGTGAGGCAGCGATTGAGGCAGTGGGTGAGGCAGCTGTTGAGGCAGCAATTGAGGCAGTGGTTGAGGCAGCTATTGAGGCAGTGGGTGAGGCAGCTGTTGAGGCAGCGATTGAGGCAGTGGGTGAGGCAGCTGTTGAGGCAGCTGTTGAGGCAGCTGTTGAGGCAGTGCATGAGGCAGTGCATGAGGCAGTGCATGAGGCAGTGCATGAGACAGTGCATGAGGCAGTGCATGAGGCAGTGCATGAGACAGTGCATGAGGCAGTGCATGAGGCAGCTGTTGAGGCAGCGATTGAGGCAGCTGTTGAGGCAGCGATTGAGACAGCTGTTGAGGCAACGATTGAGGCAGCTGTTGAGGCAGCAATTGAGGCAGCTGTTGAAGCAGCAATTGAGGCAACTGTTGAGGCAGTGATTGAGGCAGTGGTCACTGAGGCAGCTGTTGAGGCAGCAATTGAGGCAGTGGTTGAGGCAGCTGTTGAGGAAGCGATTGAGGCAGCTGTTGAGGCAGCTGTTGAGGCAGCTGTTGAGGCAGCTGTTGAGGCAGCGATTGAGGCAACTGTTGAAGCAGCGACTGAGGCAGTGGGTGAGGCAGCTGGTGAGGAAGCGATTGAGGCAGTGGTATTTAATAACATACATGTTATTAATAATAATAATACATGTTATTAATATGTACTATTGTTATTTATAACATATTTTTATTTATTTATTATCACACTGGCCGATTCCCACCAAGGCAGGGTGGCCCGAAAAAGAAAAACTTTCACCATCATTCACTCCATCACTGTCTTGCCAGAAGGGTGCTTTACACTACAGTTTTTAAACTGCAACATTAACACCCCTCCTTCAGAGTGCAGGCACTGTACTTCCCATCTCCAGGACTCAAGTCCGGCCTGCCGGTTTCCCTGAATCCCTT